TTGTATCTCCTGTACCGGGTCCACCGCCGGCGCCGCACACAGGAGTTCCACTTCTTGTCCCTCGTGTACGTGGCGGGGAAGTCAATGGCATATGTCCACCCCTGCAATACCAAGATGGGGGGAGGGGCCGTAAAGCTCTCGAGGAAGGACGTGAAAGAGCTGGGGAAGGGGGAGCAGGATGGAGGAGGGGTGGAGAAGCAGCAGCGCGGCCCGAAGCATCGTCCCCATGGATCCCGTCCGGCAAGCGGGGAGCACGCGGGGCCCAGGCTGAGGTCTGATGCCACGGGGTGCTGGGGATAGCACTGGGGGGACGGGCCGAGCCCAAGGCGCTCCCTCCCCGCAGGGGAGCCCCGGCGGGACCCGAGTGCACCTACCCCTTTCTCTGTGGGTTCCCCTCCAAAATTCTCATCCACGTACCAGTCCGACTCCCACTCCCAATGCGGCGAGGGCAGCGCCACCCCATCCAGCGGCCGGTGCTGGAGCCCACTCACGTCACTCCACGGCCAGCGGTCACTCGGCAGGAGCGTCTCACAGAAGCCGCCCACGGGGTTCCAGCGCTGGGGGCCGGAGGCAGAGACCAGCCTTAGGCCTTGTGGCCAGGGCCTCTCCGAGGCCAGTGGGGACCTCCTCTCGTCTCCAGGGCGGGAAGGGAGGAGAGGGCCTGGCTCTGCATCGTGAGCCCGCAGCCCAGTCCGGTCCCAAAGGGCAGAGGACCTGCCGCGCCGAGCAGTGGGGGACACGACCGTCCTGGGCTCCTGGAACCCGGCCGGAGCCCCGTGCCTGTGCGGACCCGGCCAGCTGCCTGGATAGGGACCCACAGGGGCTCTGGCCTCAATGACTCGGATGCTGCAGCACTCGGATCTCAGCAGAGTGAAGGCGGGAACAGGCTGGGAGCCTGGGGTGCGGGGGCCCTTACCTCCCGGCAGAGCGACCAGCCCAGCAAGCCCGCCGCTCGGGACCCCACCTGATTCTCATAGGCCTCCTCCCGGCAGCGGATGGGGACGTCGCTGGCGCCCACGTGCACGTACACCTGGTTGTCGCAGGCGATGCCCCAGCAGCACGGCGCGGCCGCACTGACCCGCTTGAACTCCAGCTGGGCGTCCCTGCACAGCTCCCAGTGCCGCCCGGCCGTGGACAGCGTGAACACCCGCCCGAAGAGATCCACCGCCCACAGCTCCGAGCTGGGCATGGCCGCGGCGCTGCGGGAAAACAGCGGCGGGAGGGCGAGGGTCAGCACCCACAGCCGCTCCCGGCCCGGGGCCAGCCGGGCCAGGCAGGAAGCCCGGGCCATGACCATCTCCTGCCGCAGGGGGCTGAGCGGCCCCCCGCAAAGCAGGGGCAGAGCCCAGCTGCAGTCCAGGGCCCTTTTTTCTAATCTGCCTTTCGCTCTTCTTGTGATGGGGATTTTTTTTCAAACACACAAAAAAGTCCAGAGGACAAAACGTGTAACATCCGAATACCCACTGCCCCCAATTTGATGAATGTTATTATTATCTGGTCATAGTTCGTTCAGATCTTTCTTGTCTAAAGAATAAGTGAAAAGTTGTAGATTTAATGAATCCCAAACGTACACGCGTCCTGCTGCCTCCCAGGGAGGCCTCTGCCCCACAGTGGAGAGGGACCCCCTCGTGCTGGTCCCCCTGTGACCTTCCTCTGTGCGTTCGTGGGGCGTCCCCACAGGCCCGGCACCGCCCCCCCCCATCCCCCGAGTGCCCTGCATGGTCGCGCAGGAGCTCTGTGGCTGTGTGCGTGGCAGGGCTGGGAGGGGCCTGTCTCTACCCTCCTTGTGCGACCACCTTCCTCTCTTCCCCGACCCCTCTCCTGCCATTCTCCACTCCGGTTCCTTCTTCTCTCCTCTTCCTTTCTTATTTGCGGGGGGTGGGCAGAGTCACGGCTATGCTCTACCGCTGACCCTCCCAACCCCAGGGCTGACAGTGCTGCTGGGACGTAACTCCTAGAGGCATGGCAGGGCCACGTGGCCAGGCCCACGGCAGCAAAACAGAGCAGCTGGACGAGGGCAGTGCAGGGAATCCCAGTGAGCAGCTCTGCCGGACAGGGCGGCTCCCACATCCAAGACCCATCACTGCCCCAGGGCGAGACACGGCTTGTCTGGTTCGGAAACCAGAGCTACGGGGAGACAGAGCCTGGGCGCCTCGAGGCCGGGGCCAGGCTATTCTGCTCCCGAGACCTGCCAGGGGCACCAGGGTGCTTCAGAAAGCGTGACGACTGGAATGACAACGTGGACGATGGAACGCATCTGGAAACAGGAGCATCTGCTGCGAGCAATGAGGCTCTTTTGGAAAAAAGCGTGTCTTACAAACACCGGAGAAGAAAGAGCGCGGGCGGGGAAGGAAGTGACTGAAGGATACAGAACAGGAAGCAGGGAAGTGGAGCAGGCGCCAGCTTTGGGAAACACCCAGAACAGGAAGTGGAGGAAGACGACGGGGGTGGGGGGGGAGCCTGACTGGCAGAGTGGAGAAGCTTGATCCCTCCACCCGGGGCCCCAACGCCCAGGTCAAACACACGGGAAGTCAGGACGCTAGCCTTCTGAAGCCATTTGAAAACTGGCATCTGTATCTGGGTGCCTGAGATGGGACCCCTGGAAGAGCTGTGGCACCCCCAGATGCCCCTCCACTCCTCCCTGGGCAGGCCTGAGGGTCCACTCTCCCCCCTGCGGCATCCACGCCGTGACTAAGTGTGCCCAGAACCACGCCGGACCCACACCATCCCGGTCCCACCACTTTCTAGCATGAACAAAAGCCCACTACTGACTAACCTCTCTGTGCCTCGATTTCCTAATTTGTAAAAGGAAGAAAGGAAGACTAACCCAGTTATGTGGCTGTTGTGAGAACTGAATGAGATAACACAGGCACAGAGTTACAATAAAGTGCCCAGTACCCAGCAAGAACTCAATGAGTGTTACTGAAATCATTTTATTACTTGCCATTTGCTCTCACAAGCTGCCACTTATCTTCTATCTCTTAAAAACAAAAAACTCAAAGCCCTTTCTGGTCAGCCTGAGTCTTCGGCCTCTTCATTTCCTCTGCATCTCCCAGTGCTCTGCACAAAGTGGGTGTTTGTTCAAAGTTATGGAAAATCACCGCCACCTACATTCACCACACCACCACTCCCTGCGCTAAGAGACGGAAATATGGCTCCAGGGAAGCTGAATGGCACCAGTTACTTACGGTTAAAAGTAAGGTACTAGGAGGTGGATAGATGTGTGATAAAGCAAGAATGGCAAACTGTCAACAGTAGAATCTAGGTGGTGGGTGTGTGGGTGTTTACTGTATAATTCTTTCAACTTGGCTGTACGTTTGACAATCCTTGTCATAAACTGTTGGGGAAAAAAAGTAAGATTTTTACATGGGGGGAGGGGTGATGTCGGTTCCCATGGTGACATTTTAATATGAATACAGTCTTCAAAGATATTTCTTGGCTCACAGGTCACTGTACAAGTAGCCAGTTAAGTCAGGCTCAGTCTGCATGTTGAGCTCAATGAATGGTGATGTTGAACTTGGATACACTTTCCTCCAGAGAAATGACTAAGCAGATAGACGTACTTTCAGCCTTCTGGGCAACTACCAGAAGACTCTACTGCAGAGAAAAGATGGGGGGGTTATGTTTGCAAATTCCCTTTGGTGTGGAAATACCGGTACCCGTCACTTCCCACCTAAAGATGACACAAGGTGGACATCCTTGGTCAGCCTCACCTCCTTTCCATGCCAGCCAGGATGTAGTCCCAAGATCTCCCAGGCCACTTCCTGGCTGTGAGGTGATGGGGTAACCTGTCCAGGGACATGGGGTCACTGGATCAGAGGACTCTTGAGTGGGAGGTTGGAGCACTAAGCTGCATGATTCTGGGATCCTGGGATCTCTCTGTTTTCTAGGGGTGGAGTGAGGGAGGCAACATCTTCCGAGAAAGCAACCTCCGATTCACCAAGAACTTCTGCACAATGAATTCCAGGTGGCCCTTCAGTCATTCTTCTCAGTAGGCCTGCTCACCACCCGCAGAGTCATCTACCTTTCTGCTCGGGTTAATTAACAGATCCCTTCAGAGATGTAAAGGTACCCAAGGGAAGGTGGGGGTTGAGGGAGTAGCGTGGGGTGCGGTACAGGGAGGGACACGGTCCCAAGGGAGTGCCTAAAGCATTTACTTCCCAGGCCACCTTAGGACTGCTTCCTGCCCAAGATTTCCTGCGGGTTTTTTTTATTATTATTATTACACCCTGTCACACCCACCCCATGAACAAACAGAGAAAACCCTGGCTACTAAAGCAGCTTACTGCCCACCAGTTGTGGGAGCTGCTGGAAGGCGACATCAGGGTCTAAAGAGGTGGGAGAAAACTGCGGGACATGCACGCTAGTTGACTCCTTCCATTCCCACAGGGAAGGAGGTGCCCTGAGCCGGCAGCTCTTAAGATGAACCCCCGGCTCCCATCATCTGGGCGGTCGGCCTGGTTTCGTTAAGGTTCCGTGCCCTTGGGCGACAGGTGGGTCCCCTGCCCGGCCACCAGTAGCATCTCAGCGCCGGGCCCTTACCATCTGCCTGAGCTAATCCCACGCCAAGCAGCTTTGCTCTCACCACTGCCCAGAGGAGGGACAGACGGGCTCCTCGCAGCTCGATCCTCTACACCCGCCAATCACTTCCCAAGTCACTCCAGCGCAAAGGCTGGTGGGGGTGTCACGTTCAGGGGTCGGGGTGGGGGTCCGGGGACGGCGCCCCGCCGGGCGTGCAGGAAAGAGCACTGGCACAGCCCCTTCCCACCTCGCCGCGCGTGGGGCAAACGCTGCTGCTGCCTCCGCCGCCCCAACCTGTCCGGAGGGACGGGGGCGCCCGTCCCACCTCCCGGTCGCCGCTGCACTCACCTGGGCCGGCGCCCGGAGGGCGGGGTCGCGGCGATTGCGCCTCTGAGGCCGGCAGAGCGAGCAGGCTCTCCCCCGGGGCCGGCGAGCCTGTGGGCAGGAAGCGGCAGCCAGGCCCGCGCCCATTGGCCGGCCTCGCAATAACGCAAACGCAGGAGGCGCGCGATTGGCTGCGGCATGCTGCGTCACCAGCCGGCTTTGGGGTCTCGGCTGGGTCGCACGCCCGCCCACTTCCGGGATCTCGAAGAAGTTGAGCTTCGGGGTTGCGGTGGTGGGGCGAGCTGCCCGCGCTCCCGGGACCGAGGCGGGCCTGCAGACCGCCCGCCGCCCCCCAGGACCCGGCTCGTCGACCCCTAAGACCGCCCGCCACCCCCAGGTCCACCTGCCGGAGCAGGCGGTGTGTTCTCTGGGCCGCAGGCGAGGAGAGGGGCCAGGTAGGGAGGTGCCTGGGTGCGCGGCTCTGCAGGGACTGGAGGAGGGGGGAGGGGAGCCGGCTTCTGGGCGCTTGGTCTCGGGCATCGAAACAGGTGTCTAGGTGGTTTCCATCTAACTGAGATGTATGAGTACACATAAAGTTTTAACCTTCTTGGGAGAAATTGTGACTACGGCATGGTGTGGTAGCAATAACAGGTCACCGTTTTGTTCAGGCTCTTGTGTTGCCAATGACAGAAAACCTAATTCGAGGTAGCTTGTATAGTGATACTGCCATGTGAGCGCTGGCTAGGTGCCAGGCTCTGGTGTACGTGCTGTACGTGGACCTTGGGATGGAGAAAGAAAAATGAAAAAAAAGGAGTTGTGACTGATGAAAGGCCAGGCACAGCCAGACAGAAAGGCTGGAGCGGTGTCACTTGGACCTAGTCTCCCTCCCTTCCTCTCTGGTTCTTGCTCTTCTGAGGACGCACTGGGGAAGCCCTCCATGGGTTGACTCCAGAGGGAGAAAAGGCAGAGGCCTCTGATTCACCCTGGATGGCATTATGGAGTCTTGTGTGTAATGAGGGAATGGCATTTGTGGACTGGCTTAGTCTGGAGATGTGGGTTGTTATGGATGATATGTTCGTGTCCCCCCAGAATTCATACCTTGAAACCCTAATCGCCAGTGGGATGGTATTTGGAGACAGGGCCTTTGGGAGGTAATTAGGTCATGAGGGTGGAGCCCTGATGAAGAGCCTTCATAAGAAGAGACACAAAAGACCTCACACCTCTTCCCCTTGTGAGGATACAGTAAGAGGGTGGCTGTCTTCAAGCCAGGAATCAGGCTGTCCCCAGATGCCACCTCTACTGGTGCCTTGATCTTGGACTTTCAGCTTCCAGAATTGTGAGAAGTATTTGTTGTTTAAGCCCCCAGTCTGTGCTATTTTTGTTGTAGCAGCCTGAGCTAAGACCCTTAGCATGAGGGCTCAGCCAGACAGAGGGCGTGGTTCCTCAGAGGAAAATTAGGGTACTGTTAGCAGGAGCATGAGTGGCCACTAGTCTGCAGAAACATTAGTCTCAAAGTCGAGACCACTGGACTCTGTTCTGTGTGTGACACTTTGTAGCCATTTCTTCTCTCTGGCCTTGGTTTCTACTTTAGAAGAAGCGTGAATTCGGAGCTCTCCAAGGTTCTTGCAGTGCTCATGGGCTGTGACAGAGTTCAGTGCCAGTTTTCTTGGATTCAGGGTCTGACCCAGTGGACTCTCTGGGGACCCATGTTCCTCCCCATCGGTCACCCCCACCCCCAGTCCTTCCAGCCTTCGCAGAGCTGACTCTTCAGTTATTGTCAGGAGGTCTGCATTTTTCTGCCCTCACCGCAACAGATTATCCTGATTCCTATTTCTGCTTTTTAATCTTAGCTTTCATTTCCTGTTTATTTTTTTAAAAAAATTATTCATTTTTGGCTGCATTGGGTCTTCGTTGCTGTGCGTGGGCTTTCTCTAGTTGTGGCGAGCGGGGGCTACTCTTCGTTGCGGTGCGTGGGCTTCTCGTTGCGGTGGCTTCTCTTGTTGTGGAGCACGAGCTCTAGGTGCACGGGCTTCAGTAGTTGTGGCTTGCAGGCTTTAGAGCACAGGCTCAGTAGTTGTGGCACGAGGGCTCAGTAGTTGTGGCTCACAGGCTCTAGAGCGCAGGCTCAGTAGTTGTGGCACACGGGCTGAGTTGCTCCGCGGCATGTAGGATCTTCCCAGACCAGGGCTTGAACCCGTGTCCCCTGCATTGGCAGGCGGATTCTTAACCACTGCGCCACCAGGGAAGTCCCCATTTCCTGTTTCTTCTCCATCCTAACGCTGCCACTTCTCTCCTGGGCCAGACACAGTGGGTTCAGGTTCCAGGTCCATCACTTACTATGTGAGCCACTCACCCTCTGAGCCTGTGTCCTCCTCATCAGCAAAATGGGAATAACACCACCACCTGCCTCTCTGGGTCGGAGGGAGGATGAAGTGAGACAGTGCGTGTGGAGCGTTTCCAGCAGTGCTTGGCGCCCGCAGAGCACTCACGCGTTCCTGGTATTATTCTTATCATCTCTGTGTAGCTGGGTTGGTGCACTTGCCATTTGTATCACTGCTTAGTGGAAGTTCCAGAAACACTTTAGAAACAACCCTGGATCCAGCACCCTCCCAAATGATTGATGGAGAGATGCTTTCAAGGTGACGGACGTTACCGTGTATATTCTGGTATTTGGGACAGGGAGGGATGGCTGGACTGGTGCCAGGATGGGCTGGCTAGACTTTCCCAGTGGTTGCCCGTCAGCCACAGGCAAGAGCTCAGGCTCTTCCCAGCAGCCTCCCCGCCGGCTCCACGTTTTGTGGTGCCTCATCCCCCGTGAACCTATAAGCTTGAGCCTTGGCAGAGGTCCCTGTGCGGGCCCTCCCCACTCTGGCAGACCCCTAGGCTTCCCCCACGCAGCTCCCACTATGCCAACGTCCCACCCACCTTCCTTCTGCCACTGTCCATTCTCATTCAGCCTCAAGTCTCAGATCAAAGGTCAAGTCTTACTGAACCCAAGGGAAAGCAGATCTGCGTTATTGCGCCCTCATACTTTGTACTTTCTCCATTCTAGCCCATCACATGTTGTATCGTAATCGTAATCCCATCTGTCTCCCTGACCACACTGTGAGATCTCCAAGGGAGTGCCTTTCTTACTGACATTGGAATTTCCACGGCTTTATCAATGCCTAACACACAATAGGTACTCAATTTTTATTAAAGGAATGAATATCCCTCCCTCGGTCCCCCAGATAATGGGTAAGTCATGCACTGAAAAATGTTGGAAGAGCCCGAAAAAAAGGGGTACAGATTAGCAGAACCGACCGTCACACATCTCAGCCCCTGCGTCTCACCCCCACCTCCACCAGCACTGTGCGTGGCTGTCTTCACCCTCCATGATGCAGGAGGCTCTCCGCCATGTGCCAGATGGAGGTGGCCAGGTTGCTCCTGAACTCTCTGATGGCATATCTCTTTGTTAATCACTGTTTGAAGTTTCCTTTCTCTGTGGAAACTATTATTCACTCGGAGTAAACTCTTACTCACAAGTGGTACACAGTGTTTTCACTTTAATTCTGCTTACAGTCATTCCTCCCTTGTAAAGCCAATCAGTCAGATGTCTGCCGTGAGCCTGGTACCCCTAGGGTGGGACCCTGGGCAGACTGCCTTCTCCAGGTCCCTCCTCACCACTCAGCCGGTGGTGCCCAGCTCCTGGGGTGGCCCAAACGGCACAGGTCCTTCCTTTACACTCTGCTAACGAAATTAATTTCAACACTTTCGTTTTTCCTTTGATACTTACCGTGCTAGATGAAGCAGCTAAAAATGTGCTGTTTCCCCCGTCTCTGGCAAAGGGAAACTTGCAGAAACGGTCTGTAGAAAAATGCAACTCAGAGTTCATGTGCACGTCCAGATACACACATCCAAGTACAGGCGACGACGCCTTGAAGTGAAGAGATGATGTTTTTGTGTCTAAGAGAAAACCTACAAAACCTCTAAAAGCAAACAAAGAGTGAGCGAAACCTGGAAGCCAGTGATAGGCACTGTCCCAGCTGCCTGACCCTCACCCAGTTATGCAAAGTCATGTAAACACAGCCAAGTCAAGCGTTCATTTGACAGACATTTTAGGAGTGCTTACTATGTGGTAGGCTCCGTGCAGGCACTGTTGGGAGTTCAGATTGGTCAAGAGTGCTTTTCACCTGGAGCTGAAAAGGTCCAAGAGGGGAGAGAGAAATACCTTAGAAGGCAGGAAAGACTGTAACCCGTAAGGTTTTTTTTGAGTTGTGTGTATAAAGGCAATTAATTAGGGGTTAAGGAGGAGAAACTGATAAGGTCGGGGGTAAAGTACAAGGGTCAGGAGTAGACCAAAAGAAGACCCAGGGTAATGTGCTTAGCATAAGCTGTGCTCCAGGAAGCAAAATAAAACTTGTACTCATACGTTCAATCCCTAGTGTTTATATACCTGTAGGTCTCTGTATTTATCTGTTATCTGCCAGAAGCGTCTTAGGATCCACCTTCCGCTCGCTTTGTGTGTTACCCTGCGCTACGCCACATGACGGCTACTGGTCGACAGCAGTTTGAGGAGCTTCTAACGGCACTAAACTCGCACCGAACGTTCAAAACCAGACCACCAGGGGCTTCCCTGGTGGCGCAGTGGATAAGAATCCGCCTGCCAATGCAGGCGACACGGGTTCGAGCCCTGGTCCGCGAAGATCCCACATGCCGCGGAACAGCTGAGCCCATGTGCCACAACTACTGAGCCCGTGTGCCACAACTACTGAAGCCCGCGCACCTAGAGCCCGTGCTCTGCAACAAGACAAGCCTGCGCACCGCAATGAAGAGTAGCCCCTGCTCGTCGCAGCTGGAGAAAGCCCGCATGCAGCAACAAAGACCCAACACAGCCAAAAATAAATAAATAAATTTATATTAAAAAAAAACCAGTCGTCCTGTAGACCCATTCAGTGGCAGGGCTGAGACTGATGCCCAGGGCTATGTACATGAATTTTACTGTCCCTTCCATCTTGCTTTGGACCCGGGGGATGGGACAGGTGGTGAACACTGGTCACCAGTGGCAGCATTCTCACCCCCTTGCATGGTTGCTGGTCTCAGATCCCACATGAACAGAGAGCTCACCCTGCCTGGACTGGAGACCACTTGCAGGAAGCTCCTGAGGTCCCCTCACAAGAATAAGTCCCAGCAGCAGTTCTTCAGTTACTTTCAAGCCAATAAATGTGCAGGTGCAGAGAGGAAAAACTCCAGGCTCCTGCTCTAAAGAGCTTGCTGCCTACCCGCCTAAAACACCAGCTGGATCTTAACTGCTACCGTGAATGCCTTTCATGTAAATTCCCGAATTCCTCTTTCTGGTCCCCCATTGTATTTCCAAGTATATGTTTTAGGGGTCAAGTACTCTGTGTGAAACCTCTTTTCCAATTTATGTTTTACAGTTATGGTCACGCCTCTTTCTCCCCAAGTGATAAAGCTCATCTATTAAAGGAAGCTTTAGGAATGCGAGTTTCGGGATTGTTTGACAAGCTACTTCACTGCCTGGTGTAGTTCTTTGGGCATCATGGTAAGTACTTGACAAATACTAGTGAACGGCGAGAGGTGGGGCACCAGGTCGTGGAGAGAGGGGATGAATCTAATTTAGGTATCGAGAGGCTTCCATTAGGTTACCTAAGATAAATGTCTCCTGATCCGAAGGAAGTCAAATTAAGGGAAACTTCATAAAGGAAATTCCTCCAGAAAGTGGAAAGGACCAGCAAGGGGTCAGGAGCAGCATGGGATCCCCAACCAGGGCCTCTGACCACCAGGAAGGCAGGCGAGCTTGCCCTGAACCCACACAAGGAGCCACTTTCATCCCAGGTAGAAAGGAGTCAGTTGGATAACTGTGTATGTGGGCCAGGGGTCTATGAGAGCCCAGACCCCCGTCCGCACTTGACCAAGGACGACCCTCGGGCTCAGGGTGGGAGGTCACATGGTGGGTCCAGAGGCAGCTGGGGTTCACCCTTCAGAGCCTGGCTCCTGACCCCTACACTGCTGCCTCTCTGAGCGGTTTTCTGATTTCTCTGATGGGGCGACAGTTTAGCAGAGGCTGGAATACAGTAAAGGAACGAGGATGTGGCTCACTCAGGGGAGAGGGAAGTGGACAGAGGGAACGTCAAGTGCAAAGGCCCGGGACCAGCAGGCAGGCCAGGTGGCGGGAGACCCGGCACAGGACACCTTGAGGGAGACGGCCTCTGGGTCTGCAGCAAAGCCACAAGCTCATAGTGAAACTCCAAAGGGAACCGTTACTATGATGTGTGCACAAAGGTAGTTGTAACTGCAGAAGATGGGGGAGAGTGGCCCCCGAGATCTCGGCCCCCCATATAGCCCCCTCCCTTGAATGGGGGCAGACCCATGACATCCTTCTAGCTGGCAGAACACTGCAAAGAGGAAGGGATTTTGCAGGTGTAATTAAGGTGCCCAATTAGTTGATTCTGAGTTAATCGAAATGAAGATTATCCTGGTCGAGCTTGGCTTAATTAGGGAAAAGCCCTTTGAAGAGAGACTTGGCTCTTTGAGGCTAGGAAATTTCTCTCCTGCTGGCCTTACAGAAGCAAACAGCCAGGCTGTGAACAGCCTCCGGGGACCAGGGGCAGCCTCTAGATCCCAGGGCAGCCAACAAGAAGCCAGGACCCTCAGTCATCAGCTGCGAGGAAATGAATCCTGTAAGCACCTTGCATGGGCCTGGCAGCGGATTCTCGTCACTGAGACCTCCAGGTAAGAATGCAGCCCGGTCGACCCCTTGATAGCAGCCTTGTGAGACCCTGAGCAGAAGACCAGCTAAGCTGAGCCCAGACTCCTGTTCCATGGAGACTGTGAGATAATTAGTGGGCATTGTTTTCAGCTGCTAAACCTGTGGTCCTCTCTTGTGTAGCACAGAAAACTAATACATTGGGCGGCTGCTAATGTATAGGTATGCTGTCCACCCCCCGCCCTGCCCCGATTATAGTGATGCTGTGCATTTGTTTCTGTCTGTGTGAGTAGAAACCGGTAAATGCATGGACCAAGGGACAAAGCTAGTGGCTCCCAAAAAGCAGGAAGTGTCCACACTGGTGGTCGCTCATGAGAGCCAGGAGGGGTCTGCCCCAGCACTCACACATGGAAGCCAGGTAACGGGCAGGCTCAGCAGGGTGTTCCCAGGTCCTGCACTCCCCAGGTGTCCTGAAGAGAAAACTTAACCACGAAGATTCAACCCTTCATTTCTGGGCGATGGAATTTCTAGATGGCCCTGCTAATTTTAATGCAATACTAATAAGACACACATAACTCTTTAATAATGCTAACAGATAAGTCACCAATTCATAATGACAGGACCAGGTTAGTTGATCAGAAAAACCCAAAGATGGATTACATAATCCTGTATTACCAAGCAAGACTCTACAAATGCATCGTTTTAGGGGAAACACGGGGCGGCAAGGAATTAAAACCTATGCGAAGGGTTTGAGCTTTCAAATCTGATCGATGTAGCAAATGGCATTTACTTATAAACAGCAACTTTCAACTGATGGCCTTGGGAAGAACCATCTAGATCCAGCCCTATCCAGGAATTACTCCATCTATAACCAAAATGCCTTAACGTTTCGGCTGATTAGAGATGGTATTCTTCTTCCCTGGGGCCGTCAATCCTGGAAGAATATCAAAGTAAAGATAGCTGTAACCCGAAAAAGGTATTTGAAAAAAAAATAAAGGAAATAACGAAGATGTTAGTTAAACCCATGATGTTGATATTTGGAGTAAGAAATTGGTTTTGTAGTCATCGCGTTAATATAAGCTTTATTTGCTGTCTGAGGTGTTTGCAATATTCGAAAGAATCAACCATGCCATACTTATAACTGCAGGTTACATTGTTTAAGAGAATTACTTTAATGTATTTGTAATCGTTGTTTAGATGTGCAAAACGAAAGATGTGTAAAATTTGGTTCACTGGACATGAGAGTTACATTGAGCAGTAAACAAAGTGCAGGGATGCTCCTGGGACAATTGGGAACCCCAGCAGCAAGTGAAAGGGGTCTGGGTATGGAATCCCAACTGGGGGACCTGGCCTTCCGACAAGAGGGACATATATCGATCAGACAGAGGACAGAGATCATGGGTATCTCAGAGGAGGAGCAAAGATCCCCAAGTGGAAAAAACAAATTACAGAACAAGACAGAACATGTCCCCACGTGGGGAAAAGGCAACCCTAGTCTATTACATATGCATGTACCTGACAGGAAAGATGACAAGATCCACCCCACACCATCCACCAGGATTGCTGGGTGGGGGGCAGCAGGGGGACGGTCAGATCCCACTGAATGTCAGTGCCTGATGTGCCACCGCCCTGTGCAGGGGCCCCAGGCAGCAACCGGTGCTCAGAGGCAGTAACCACACTTAGCTGATGGCCGCTCACTTGGTGCCGCATGCCGTGTCCTGGACCTCTCACAAAGGTCGGGTGAGTACGTGCTATTAATGCCTCATTTTACAGCAGAGGAAACTGAGTCACGAGTGGGCTCCTCCTTAGCAGGCTAAGGAGACGGAGTGGCGGACCCCAGACGGCCCGGCCTCCTGGCTCTCAGGCATGGTGTGAGGGGCGCCTGGAGAGATGGGAGGCCTGCAGGTGACAGAGGCCAGGACCCGCAGCCCTGAGATGGAAAAGCAGGCTGTGTCACCTTTAAAAGAAAGACCACACGATTACACCTCCAACAGGCTACAGGTAGGAAGACAGGAAGAGACCTGTTTTCACTAAAGGCCACTCCTCCTAAATGAAAGGGATATGGGTTACGTAGTGGGTAGCGCCAAAGACCAAAACTTACGCTACAGCACCCAGCTCTGCTTGCTGTAAGGATGTGAACTGCAGGTAACAGCTCGGTTTGCCAACGGGTTCCTTGGGCAAGGCGGTTCGTGGTAAGCATCTGGGAACCCTCCCACACAGCACACCTGTTACCGCTTTCCACCTGCAGCAGCTGAAAGTACGGGCAGCCCAGGGAGCACAGGACATGCCCTGAACAGAGTGCACGCCTCCGGGGTCCTCCCACCAGCTCCCCGCACAGACCCCGGGTACCCGCTCCTCCTGGCGGAGGTGCACGACACCACTCCCCTTTCCTTGGGTCTTTGTCAAAACTGCAGAAGGAACTTGTCCACAGAAAGTAAAGGGAGGAACCCGTGAAAGCAGACGAATGAACAGTGGCCCCATCTGAGGGGGGCCTGGCTCCTGGAATTTCAGGGGTTATTCGTGTCAACATTCCCCACCCCTCCAGTCCCTGCTGCACTTTCTAGGGACACAGGAAAAACCCTGACGCTGGGCCTTTGTCTTTGGTGCCGGTCACATTTTGTCACCTGAGTGGCTCTCCCGCCCCTACAGACCATAAGTCATGGTTTTCATCAAGGATCCCCTGGGCAGTGCTCTTAAACGGGCTTCTCACCGAACCCTCCCAGCTCCCAGAGGTGAAATCTGGTTGGCGGCACCTCGAGCCTCTTCCCAGTGGCGGGGCTCCAGGCTCAGAACCCGAGAATCTTGGATTGTGAGCCAGTATTCTGTCCCCCCAGAGAGCCGACCCTTCCCGCGACGGCCCCCCCCCGTGGCCTCCTCCATCACCCGTTCATGACGGCCCCTGCCCACCTTCTGCTGGAGCGTAAGCGGACTCCTCCTGGCTCCCGCCCTCAGGCTCCCGCCGACCACCCAGGGGCATCTCACTGAAGCCAGC